AATAAAGAGAAAAAGAAAGAAAGAAAGAATGGGAAGAACTGTGAAAAATGTACCTACAAATGTGAACGAAGAACTGTGAAAACATAGAAGATGAACAAAACCTACAAACGTGAAAGAGAACAAATACACCAACTTTGTTAACGCATAAAAGATGAAAAGAACTTATAGAAGTAAAAGAGACCAACTTTGTTAGGAAGACAAAGAGATTCATGAGTTGAGCCAGAGCGTGTTTTATTTATAAAAGTTAAAGACTTTAGAGAGCGGTTCTTTATTAACTGCTCTCTAATATATGACTTTAAAGAGCGGTTAATAGAGAACCGCTCTCAGAAGTATAGATCTGAGAGCGGTTCAACACTAACCGCTCTCTAAATGTATTTGTACAAAGCGGTTTTTACTAACCGCTATCTAAGTTAGCGCTTCCAAAGCTTATTTCTGGCGTAGTGAATTGTTTCTTAAATCAGTGTTGGAGTAGTCAGGACTTGACACTACTAGGTATGGAAATCCACCCACAGAATTGTTAAGACCCACGCTCAAATATGAACCTAGTGGCTCACTGACCATGATATATGGCAAGAGCACAGTCAAGTACAGGAGAGTTTGTACAGTGGGATCCCCGACAACAGGTAGCGAGCCTGAGCCTTTTAGGGCTTCCAACCACTATCCTTCCTATCCCCAAGTCCTCCCTCAGGGCCTCCCCATCGTATTCCCAGAGTCCATAGTCTCTGATTCCCCATTTTGCACAAAATACCATTTTCGGATGAGTAATGTATGAGTTCCTAAGTGGTTTTTCTTAAAAAAGTCTCATATTCCCAAATTTCTAAATTTGTTCGAGAATGATTAAAAAATTTTCTAATTTTGAATATTTTTCAAAATTTTGACAGAGTTTCTCCTATAATACGAACTTCCCAAAATTTTTCAAATACCTGTTGCAATCAAAAAACTTCCCGATACAGTTTATAAGGGTTCTCAATCCATCATTTCAATTTATTTTCATTAAGCTTTCCTGTGAAAACCACCATGCACATAAATGCTCACTCAAAGACAATTCATATCATATTACACAATTTATGTCTTAATGAAGTATCAAACATATATTTCCACCACCAAACACATAAGCAAACCATTATCAAAATTAAGCATATAAGGAAATCACAATCATCAATCACAACAAAATTTAGACAATTTCAACAAATAAGGGTAAATAAGTTTATAATGTAATCCTTACTATATATCCCACCCCTTACCTGTTACGTCCACATTTGTTCTCTCTAACGCTTGACGTTGATTTCTAACGAAATCTATACACGTAATGAAACGCTAGTTAGAACTTTATAGTTCTCTGATTTTATCTCGCCAGAATTTAAACTCACTTTGTTTTGTTAATTCATTTTTGTTAATATGTTAAGCTCACATTTACCTCACACTTAACTTAAAAAAATAATTCTAGTTGGTACACACTTAGAGTAGGAAGAATCCTAATGGCGAGCATGAACAAGGTTCAGTACTTTGAAATTTTCTAGAGTTATATAGACTGTTTTGACATGAGGTCAAAGCCCAAATTTCAATAACATAATTATCTACAATATTGATGTAGAGGTCAAAATCTAATTCGAGATAGATTGTACAATAAGGTTGATCAAAGTCATGACAGAGAAATTTTTGAGCAGATTGCACAAGGTTCAGTGTTTTTGCCATAACTCAAGATATACTTAATATTTTAACATGAGACCAATTTCTAAATTTCAAGGATTTATTTATATACAACTTTTATGAAGGAATTAAGTTCAAATACCCTATAGAATAGTGCCAATTTTCAGGTTACAGTGGTTGTTTCTGACAGAGATCAACTACACTAACACTCTAAATATACCTTAGTAATCTGGCCATATCTCATGCTACACATAAGATATTGACATGAGACTAATTTCTAAATTTCAGGCATACAATTTCCTACAACTTTTATGAAGGAGTACAGTCCTAATTTTACACTCATAAGTCTCAGTAAATCAAAATCCGTGACTGTTAGAACAGGGCAACCTCCTAAGGTGACAGCTAGAACACCTGTTAGTAAAATGGACATAACTTGAGTTACAAATATTCGCGTTTGAGGTGAAACTAGTGGCTAAATTTCAAGTATTAAAAGGGCTACAACTTTCATGAAGACATAAACTCCTAATTCAGTCCATACAAATCCCAGAATTTAGTGAACAGTGACCTGCGAATTTGGGTTCTTAGGTTTTTAGCTCAACCACTTCTAATCCTTCATTTCAAGCATGATTCTAATATCCTAGATGTAAAATCACAACAATAAAAGCAAGATATCACCCTTCCCATTCCTATTCAAGCTCATCCAAGTAAGAAGAGAAAATTAAATAACACCATTTTAAAAAAAATAAAACCATACAAGTGTAGAAGAGGATAAGGGTAACAAGTTTGCCTCTTGAAGCTTCTCAAGAAAATCAAAATTTGGCCCTCAAAATCAAGTTTGAAGGTGAGTGTATTTGAGAGAAAAATGTAGAAAAATCTTACGGAAGCTTGTAGAAGAAGAAGATGCATTCTCTCTCCTAATCACTTTTTAAAAGTAAAAAAATTATTTACTTTATTTTTTTTTTTACTTAAAAATTTCACTTTGGCAAATGTATATTTCTTTTTCAGTTTAACAAGTAGAGAAAATTTAAAAAAATATAGTAGAATATTTAAAATAATACTGGGATAGTCACTAAAATTTTAATTTACTCAAATTGCTCTCGGATCGGTTCCTTTCTTGTCTGCTTATTAGATGTACTAAAAAATAAAATTTTGAAATTTATCAAATTTCATTGTAAAAACTTACTTTTCAAGATATTTCTAATATTATTAGGCTCTCGTAAAATTTTCAAAATTTTACGGCTTTATTTGCTATAGAATTAGATTCAATTTGAAAATTTATTTATTTTTGCTAAGATTCCTGCAAAATAGGCCAATTTTAAGTATTTCCTAAAAAATTCAGAAAAATTCTAGAAAATCAAAAATTATCTAATGAATATAAAACTCTAAAATTACATTAACTAATTCCTAATAATTTATTTTTTTTAAATTTTGACAAAGGTTCTGTCAAAATTTAGCAGACTAGAGATACCGAAAATTAGGATGTTACACCTGATAGATGAAATGACAAGTTGGTTATCTATATTGTGCAAATCGTACATTGAATGTTAAAATATAGATGTAAGGAAGGATACTTAAATAGTGGTGTTGGGAGAAATGGATTTGTGGTGAATGAGCTTTGATAGGAGTCTTAGAATGGTGTAAGAGCCAGAGCGTAGTGTAAAATGGAAGTAGTGGGTGGGAGAGAAGAACATGATGGTGCAAGAGAGTAATGAAGAAGGAGTGGGCAAGGAGAAGAATTTTTTTTTTGTGAAGTTTGTTATCGTGAATTTGTAATGCAAAGAGAAAGAAGTGGACGGTAAAGAAGAATAAGATGATGCAAGAGAGTAATGGAGAAGAAGCCGCAGGCGGGAGAAGAAATTTTTTTTTATAAAATTTGCTATCATGTATTGGTGTTTATAATTGGATTTGTGACTGGTTATTTAAATAAGGTAGAGATATGGTGTCTATATTCCGACACCTTATTTAAACGTTGGAATAGCATTTTTTATTTTAAAAACAATCTCTTTAAAAGATATATTCAGTTTAAATCAAAGTTACGTAATGTGTGGCTTTTATTTTTTTATTGCATCACGGATATGTTAAAACGATAATTGAGCCTGTTGAGTTAAAATATTTTTTTATACATTAATTAATATTTTTTATAAATAATTTTATAATAATAATACTAAAAGTTTTTAGAAAAATTACTTTGGGATTAGATAATTTTTTAAATATATAATAAATTTCTACAATCAATATAACCATTTTTAAATGGAGGAGTTAATACTTTTTCTATACATTAATAATTTCTAAACTAAAATCTAATTTTAAAGATTATATTTTTTAAAAAAATTAATAATTTTTTATTGTTAAAAAAGTATCAATACCTCCTTTCAATACAGAGGTACCACATAATTTATGAATTTAAATTTCTTCTCTGAATATTTAGCATATATTTAATATTATTATATATTAACTAATCCGGTCCTCGTGGTTTTTTTGTTTATTTATCAAGATTTCTTACAGAACTGTCAATAAATTAAAATATATGATAATATAATTTTTAAATTATTATTATAAAAATAAATATTTTTATAATATTTTTGCATTCCATTTTAATTCATATGTAACTTTAATTTTTCTTACAGTTAGAGAGCTCGGTTGTGGCACTGGCACCCATGTCTAAAATCTCAAAGGAAACCTGATCCAACATTCTAGTGATGCTATAAACTGAACTCAATCCTAGCAATCACTTGGAACTTCAATGCCATTCTTTTTACCTAGCACACTCGCAGAACAAAGCTTCAATGTAGGATGCAGAGGCAATTCTATCCTTCTACCAAACAATTTTTTGTCCATAAAGCATTTAGGAACTCAATTTGTTATGTTTATTAAGAAGTTGTTCCAATATATATATATATATATGAGCAGGATTTTTTGCACTGGTGTAAATTTAAAAATTCTTAAATTAAATCTGAATATTTCATTTAACTTATATTTAGCGAGTTATAATTTATTACTTTACTTGCTGTTAGAAATAAGTTAAATGAAAAGTTTCAAACTAAATGTAAGAATACACTAACGTAAGAAGATTCTTTTTTTTATATATAAATTAAACTATACGTGAAGACTTAAAAAAATATGTAGTAATAAATAATGTAGGATATTAATGTATGTACAATAACATATTAATGATCTATAAATTTATTTGTTAATAGTATTATAAACTCAAAATGTCAATACTAACGAAAACTAATCTAATATTAAATAATTTGGATTGTCCAATTCATTGCAGTAATTGATTATATATGCCAAACAAGCTTTATATAACTTTAAAATATAACAATTTTATTAGGCATCACCCGCATACATTAAAGCTTTTCAATAATTCTACAAGCAGCCTCAGAGAGCTCCTCATATGCAGTGGTAACATTAAAAATATCACTTGGCACTTTATTAGGGCCAAAACTCTTCAATTTCTTCTGGCAATCAATATCAATATCCAGAGCACTAACCACAAAAGATTCAGCTTTTTCATATTGTTGAATTTGCAAGGACTGCTTAGCTGAATCTATCTCCTTGGGAATGCTGTATCCATAATCTTTTGCACATGTTTGACAAAGGGTCTTGAGATCTCCATCTGAAATTGAAGCTAAGTTTGTCACGTTGAGTGCCAAGGTAGTTGCCTCGTCTTTGATGCAATTCAGAATGATTGTGGCTATTTGAACACCATCAGCTTTCTCAGAAGCGTTACAGGACTGCACACACTTATTACAAGTTTGAGGTGTCTCGGAGTAGTTGCATAATGATTGAATCAAGTTGGTGTTTGCTACAACCAGATTTTTAGCCTCATGAATGAATAATGGCGATGACAAATTGAGAACAAAAAGAAGAACAATTACACTAGACACGTAAGAAAAGAAGGCCATATTCATTGTATTCGTGTGAATTATTCAAAGTATTTGTTGCAACTATAAATTAACTTGTAATGGCTTTTATTTATAATGTTAAGAAAATGTGATTAAGATTTTCAAGAGTTAAAGGATGGTAGGATTTCATTTTACACTTACGTGTGAATATGATCTCCAACAATGAATACAACTATTTATGTTAAAGTAGAAAATTGTTTTCTTCACTTTATTTTCTTATGGTAAAGTTAAAATTAAAAAAGTAATTTCGTCATTTTTAGAAAAGATAAACTCGAACATTATGTTGATTAAAAGGAAGACAAATAACTTTTGAATTTTTCATTTATTGGTAAAGTTAAAGAAATGCAATTTTATGAACACCTGTTAAAGAAAGAAAGAAGGTTCGGTTTTAACAAAATTAAGGAAAATGCTAACCATGATTAAGGTTTGTGGTATAGTTAAAATTTTATATAAAATTGATTAAAATTTAAACATTAAATGCACTTACTATTACTAAAGGAAACAGTAATTAAATAAGAGGGCCCACTTAAGAACGGAGAAGACTTGAAAAACTTTAATAATAATGCTTTTATTTATGTTACAAAATAAGCATCCATTATCTAATACGTATTAATGGACACATGAAACGAATATATTTAACATAACTTAAGTATTTTAAATTATTAAAAAAAGTAAGTCTAAAAGAATTTAATACTTTTTATATATTAAATATTTTCAATAAAAAATTTTCATGTTTGTTTTCTAATATACAGCTATGAATCTATGACCACACGTTAAAAAGAATTAAAATAAGACAATTTCCGCATTGTAACTATTCTATCCTTTCACGTGCATATATTTTCACAAATGAACGAAGCAGAAAATGAAATTATTAGGAAGTAAATTATAAAATTAATATTCAGCCCTTAATTTATTTTAAATAATAAGATCATTATATAAATTATGAATATATTACATTTAAATAATCCGTACTAAAGTTTCCGTAAAAATTTTGAGACTTGAAAGGTCTTTTGGCGTTATGTTTGAATTGGAAGTGTCCCCAGTAAATACTAAAGGATGACTTTTATTGCCTATTCCTTTCAATGTACATTAAAGGGAATAACAAAAGGGGAATAACTTTAAGAAAGTTATTTTATTCTGATATTAAGATGAGTCACAAGTCACATTGTTTTATTAAGAAAAATAAAGAGAAAGATAAGAAAAACAAAGGCAAAGAATAATAATGTGTGTTATTTCATTTATATACAAGTGAATAAAAATTAATTTAAAAATTATAATATGCAATATTTATTTGAAATCATACATTATATAAAAAAAATTATAATAAATTAAATTAAGTTTTATCATCATCATCATCCATAAATATGCATAATTTACAAGAAAATTTTAATTTTGCTTAATTTAAAAAAATTTATTTACAAACTTCAACAAATTTTGTATTTTTAACTTATTTTAGGTATGTTTATTAAAATTATCAACAAAATCACTAGAAGTTAAAAAATTAAATAAATTCTAAAATATTACTCTTTCGGTCATTTTACAAAGTATCTTTAACTAAATTATACAAATTAATAAAAAAATAATTATTATTATTTTTTATTTTTATAAAATATTATAACAAGACCATATCACCCTCATTTAATATTATTCAACCTATCAACCTTTATCTATATTAATTTAAATTTAAATTTTCACAGGGTAAATGAAGAAACATAAATATTACTTCTTTTGTCTCATATTAGATATTAAATGTCACTTAGTATTGATATAGATATAATAAGAAAATAATTATATTTTTCAAATTATTATGAGAAAGAAAATAATTTTACTATAATACCTCTATTAAAATTGTTAAAATGTTGTAACAGTTAACCAATAGCTAATTTTAAAGATATTTTAGTTGTTTGGTAGCAAAAACTATCCTTAAAGAATAATTATATTAATTGAAAAAGTAATATATAAATGCTTTTTTATATTTTAAAATGGTAAATAATTTTAGACAAATAAAGTTTTCAAGTGACATCTAATATGAGAAGGGAAATATAAAATGCCTTATTATGAAAAAAAAGAGTTTTGTTAATTTTACCTCTTAAAACATTTTTCGGTACCTAAAATAATAAGCTTCTACTAAAAAAAACATATTTATTATATTAAAATTATAAAAATATAATAAATATTTTGTAACAAAATATTATTATTAATTATTTAAATTCAATTATATATCTTAAAGTTAACATATTTTTAAAATAAATTATTAAAAATTTCCAAAAAGTATTTTATAAAAGAAAACAAAAAAGTGTAATTAAAAGTTAATACGTAACATTTATGTTACTGCGTTTAGTTTGATCAAACTTATTCTTTACTTTCAAACAAATATTTTCTATTTATTTAAAAAAATTAGTAGGCACAAATAAAAGTAGAAAAATGATAAAAATAAATAAATTAGTATATATATATATATAATTATCACAAAATAATTTATAAAAATAGAAATGTCATATATATATATATATATATATATATATATATATATGACATTTCTATTTTTATAAATTATTTTGTGATAATTTTATAAAAAATTTAAGATCTTAATTATATTATTATTATTTTTAATTATAATACGAAAAAACTTATATATATTTAAAATTTTTATTTTTTATTAGTCAATCCTTAAAAATTTAATAATTATTTAGGATGATAGAATTTAAATAGTATTGAAAAATTATTTTATTTGTACTACTTAAATACATAAATACAATATTTATAAATTATGTTCAAAATACATTAAATTTTAAATTAAATAATTATAAAAAGAAAAAAATTAGAATACATTATATGCTAATAAGCAAATCACTAATACATCAAAATTTAGAGAATATGATTATAATTTGAATCAATATAATATGTCTTCTTAAAATGATCATATTTTTTTTTTTGAAAATATAAGTAAGATTGAGTCTTCTCAACTAAAATCAAACTAAAATAATGATTTAATAAATTAATAAAAAGATCAAATACTATATCAATCATATCAGCAATATTTTAAAATATATGTTAAGATCATATTATTTAACATATGTTTACATCAATTGGTATATTACAATAAGTGTATTATAATCCCATCAATCAATATGTTATAACACATATATTAAAATCACATCTGTCGATGTTTTACAATACATATATTATAATCATACCAATTAATATGTTACAACACATATATTATAATGACACAATTAATATGTTACAATATATATATTACAATCACACAATCATTGTCGTTGGAATCCTTTTCATAAGTATAGATAATCGCTGGTTAGATATAACTTCATGAATACATGTACTAATACACTCCTTTTAACAAAAGGTATAGTCAAGAATCTAGTCAAGAAATGAGTGTAGACTTATGATGCTTTCACTTTCATTAATTTATATGCACCCATTACTAATAACATTCACCACCCTTATTTCTCCTAAATTTTCAAAATTATCTCTAAACTTTATACCCTCACTATATCTTTGTAATTATTCATACTTATTTGTATCACCTTTCGTGATAGTATAACTTTCATCCTTTTTTTATTTTTTATCATGATATGAATTCATCATTTTTATAATAAAATCATCAATTATGTTGAAAGTCAGACACCTCCAGACTTAGTTCAATTTATATGTTTTCAAAAATTATATTTTCCACATCCTTCAAAGAATAATCAACACATCAACTTTCAAACAAAGATTTACAATCACAACAACATATCATTTAAATACAATTACATCATCAAACAATTTGCCAAAGGTCAAACACCTCCACACATAGTTCCAATCGCATTTACATGCTATAATTACTTTAAAATGTAAACCCTCTATGCTAAGGTTTGAAGTACATTACTATATAATTATATTGTACTACATATTTTTTATATATCTAATGCAAACTTCTCAAAACACAATATATCATGCAATCATTCATTTCAAAATTTATCTAACTCAAGAAAATAACTTAAATTATGTCTTACTCAACTTTCTCTAGAAAACTTTGATTCAAGTGACCCTTGAGTCAAATCCCAAGGTTTGACATCCAAGAAATTCATTTTTAAGTTTAGATTTTTGAAATAATCATATAACCACATACTAAACAAAGCATGTGTATGAAAATAGGAGGAAGTTCTGCAGTTAAAACTTTAAATGATGGGATAAACCCTCCTTGCCTCAAGGAGATGATTTGCGAAGAGTTTTGTGAAAAATATCGTCCAAAAGATCAAGTTCTTGCTGTGTATCACAAGATAGAGTACTTTTGAGAAAGGAAAAAACAAAAAAAAAATAGAAGTGAGATTAAAATATTAAACTCCAAAAAACTTACTTGGAATCAAGAGGAAGACACGTCCAAGCTTTTATTTGAAAGGGGTTTAGAGTTTAAAGGAATTTTCTTTGGAAAAAGGAAGAGAGAGAATAGAGAGAAAAGTAAGGAAAGATCACTTGGCTTGTAATAAAAGTTTTAAAATGAAGTTCTTTAAATATCTTGTTTGACTAGCAACTTTGCGCTCGAGAGAGTGATTCTTGCTTGAGCGAAATGCATTTTCATTTGGGTAAGAACACCAGACATAAAAATTTACTCAGTCTCTAATAATTTTACTCAAGTAAAAATCATTTTTGCTGGAGCAAGACTCGGTGCAAAGAACTCTCATTTTTTTGTGTGCCTTTTCGCCTAAGGAAAAGGACAGTTGGAGCGATTATATCTAAATGCGTGGTCTAGAATAACTAGTCTCACTTGAGCGTGATCTCCAGTAATTTTCAAATTTTAAAATTTTTTATTTTAAAAATAAATTGTAATAAAATACAACAATGATAAAAACAAGGTAACTCACTAATTTATTTTTTAACTATAGTCTAATTTTTATATGTATGCTCTAATTTTCTAATTTTTCTTTTGGTGTTTTACCTTTTTTGTTAAATATGTTAAAGCTGAAAGTTGTTTACATTATGCATTTTCACTAAATGAAATTATTTTAGTTGTATTATCATTATTTGATGTCAAGACCCGTCTTTTAAAACTCTTGTTACAATGGCAAGTGTTTGCTTTTCCACGGAAAAACATATTGAATTCGTTGAAATATTTTAAAAAAAAATGTCAAATAGGTATTTTAAATTGTGATGTATTTTAATTTTTTTTGGAGAAAAGGGTTATACAATTCTAAAATAAAATGAAGGATAGTGAAATATAAGTATTTTCTAGGGAGAGAAATGTCCTTTGCTCTTCCTTTTTCAAACTAATTACTACTTGCAAATCTTGATTATGCAGAAAGAATTTGCAGATGTTAGGGTTCAAATACAAGACCAATAAGCTTGACGATACCTTATAGTCTCTAGCCTTGAATTAAAAACACCACAAAAGACATAATACCATAGAATTGATAATTAAATATTGTGTAAATATAAATTATTTAAAAAGATTCACGATAAAATCAAAAGTAAATTATTGCTGATTAATTTTTGAATTCAAAACACTGCTTTTAAGAAACTTTTTAACTTTTAAAAACAACAAAATTCACCTTATTTTCTATTTATTGAATAACTTTACTACTTTATTGGTAAAATTAATATGTCATTAGTTTCTAAATAGGATTAAAGCATTAAATTTTGGAGCTGAAAAAGCTCGTTGATTCACATGAATCACTGCTCGGCATTTTTCACAAAGAAGAAAGAGGATAGAATGGAAAAAGAAATAAAAAAAAAATATGTCGTATAGATGAATAGAAAAGATAATAAAAATAAATAAATCGATAGTATAAAAACATATTTTTGATAATATTACAATGAAATTTAATAAAAAATTTAAAATTTAAAATATAATATTTTACATAGTTTTATTTTTAAAATATTTTTAATTATTTTAAATCTATACAATGATTAAAAGATATTTATTAAATAGTGAATTTATGTCATTTGAATAGTAAAAAATTATTAGTAATTATATGTTAAATTATTTTAACTAAAATAAGTTTGTTTCTAAAATAAAAAAAGTAATTTTTAAATAATTTATCTTAATTTAAATTTAATATAAATAATTCTTCTCAATTAAAATTTAATCTTTCTAAAATTTTAAATATTTATTGCACCATTTAAGTTAAATTTATTTTAAATGAATTTTTTAAATTTAAAAAAAAGATTTCTTTTCAAATGAAATACCTATTTAAAAAAAATCATTTCATGATTTAAAAATAATCTTTCTCATCAAAAAGATATTTTTATTTTTCAATGCAATTTTTTTTAAAAACCAAACATTTTGAAAAATCAAAATTATCTTTTAAGAACAAGAAACAAAACATATCTTCAAAGTTAATCAAACTTGATTTTTTAAAAGAATAAGATAACTTTAATTTTTCCGTTACATTCAAAGAATACGTAAGAAGAGAAACATGATCGAAAAAATCTAAAAAAAATTAAATTTTTTTAATTATAAAACACCAAAAATAATTGTTAAAAGTTTTTTTTATCTAATTTTTAATTTAAAAAGAGTAAAAAATAATTTCAAACTTTTCTTGTTCCTAAAAAGTAAAAATGAAATTATGGTATGTTTGATTTCTCTTTTTAAAAGAGTTTTTAAATTTTTTCTAAATATAATATTAATTTATACTATATTTAGAAAAAGAAATTAAAAACTCTTTTAAAAATGGGAAACAAACATACACTCTTTCCTAATTTTATTAGATAACAAAATGTGAAAATAAGTTTTATAATTTACTTCTTTTATCCAAAAAAAGAATAACATTTCTTTTATACAAGTTATTCCTTTGATTCAAAATTTAAATAAAAATATCTTCTTAGTAAAATTATGTTTCCTTATTTTAAAAATACAAAAATTAAATTTCTTATAAATTATGTCTTCCTTTGAATTATAAAAATTTTAAAAAATTATCTAGACAACTTAAAACATCCTATGTAGTTTGAATTTTCAAAGTAGGATGCCATGAGATATTGTCAAATTCAAAACTAATTCTTAACTGTCTCTAACCCACAAAAATTTGCACATGTTAGAATTCAAATACAAAATTCTCATCATGTCCAACATCCTTCAAGTAAACATCAATCATAAACAGCGAAACACAGATTACTCTCTAACCTTGAATAAGAACAAAATATATATATTAAAAACACCTCAAAAAGCATATAATAGTAGAAAAGTAGAGTATTTTACGAACAATATTTGTTGTGCTTATAGCCGTTGTTTTTGTAAGAATTTCACTTAATGAACACAACACACACAAGAATGCACATATAAAAAGAGTCTGCAGAAGTAAATTGTTTATATAACTCATCTTGTAATTTCTACATAGATGCTAACCAAGAGATACAATACTTTAAAACATGACAGTTTATTCGGTATAAGCCTCATAGTTATAGCTTTTCAATTATTCGAGAAACAGCTTCAGATAGTTCTTCATATGTCTTCATAACTTTAAAAACATAACTTGGCACTTTCTTTTGGTAGCTTTTCAAATCGAAGTGGCAAGTAAGGTCCAAATTCAGAGCTGTAAGCACATTAGATTCAGCAGTGGCATAATTTTGATTTTCCAAGGCTTGTGTAGCTGAAATTAACTCTTTTTTGGCAATTTGGGGCCCGTAGTCTTGTGCACATCTCTGATAAAGGAGTTTCAGGCTTTGATCTGATGTTTCCAAAGCTAAGGTTGTCATCTTTTGTGCCAACGTGTTTGCTCGGTCATTGATGCACTCGACAATGATTGTGGCTATTCTAAGACTGTTAGCTTTCCCACAATCTTTAGCAGATTGCACACATCTCATACAAGTTTTGGGTGTCTCAGAATAGTGGCATAAAGTTCGAATCAATTGGTAATCTGCTCCAACCAAATTCTTGGCTTGATGAATGAATGGTGGAAACAAAATGGCAAGCAAAACAAGAACAATTACTCTAGCTTTGATCGGAAAGAAAGCCATATTCAATTTGTTCTTGTGATTCGATGTACTTGTTCAAGTGACATGTGTGGGCTTTTATTTACTACGTCTTGCATACTAGAATGAGATAATAACTTATGTATAGTAATTTTTTTATTAAAAATATTAAGATATCACAAAATTTAATGTATGAATGACATTAAATGCTATAATTTTTAATAAAACTTATTATATTTTATTTCTTAATATGTGTATTTGAATATGTATTAGAAAAATAAAAAAAAATATTATTAAAACTCATTAAATAAAAAAAAAGTCATGCTATTTAGTAGGCTTCAAAAAAATTATTTAAGCTTTATTATTGTTTTGCTACATTATTTAAGATTTATTATTTTTTTGCTACATTATTTAAGCTCCATTTTATAAAATTAATGATAAATTCAACTCTGAGCTCTATAATTTGTAACTAACCGATTGAATTAGAATTGTTTGACAAGACTAGTTATCAATTTTAATTATTTGTTTTTAAATATTTAATAAATAATTAAAGATTTTATCTTTCACATATTATCAATTATTTAATTAATCATCTTATCTACTATTTTATTTAATTAATTGGTTACTAATTAATTATTGTATAAATATAAATTATTTTAAAAAGTGCAAGATAAAAATCAAAACAAGTTATTGATAATTAATTTTTGGAATCAAAACACTATTTTAAGTAACTTTTCATCTTTCAAGTATTATGCATTTTCTTATTTATTAATTAACGTTACTGGTTTATTGACAACTAATAAGTCATAAATTCCTAAACGGGATTAAAGATTAAATTAAAGATTTTAAACTAAACGTAATAGATATATAATTTTTTTCTAATGTGTATCATTAAACCCAAATTAATAAAATTTATACTTCCGATATAATAAATGTTTTAAATCTTAACTAAAAAAACTTCTCCTTTTTGTCAACTTATTATTATATATCTATAAATATATAATAAAAAATCTTATATATAAATACTAATGGATGCTTTTAAGAAAGAGTTTAAGAAAATAAAAGTTATCTTGAAAGTATTTAATGATTTCAAAAAAATTATTTTATTTATTATAAAAATAAGTAAAATATTTAAATAAGTAAAATATTTAATTAATTTATTAAGTATTTAATAAAATAAGTTTTTTAAAATTTATGTGAGATCTGTTAAAAATTATGAAATAATTTTGCTAATCTTTCGTACGACTAATACTAATTACACTTAAACCTAGTTATTAAAAGTTTTTAGGCTTAATGAAATATTCTTTCCTTTACATAATTTTGACTTAGTCCCTAAAATATTTTTTTTAAAGTGCAGGTTTTACTTTCTCACAAATTATCATGTAATATAATCAAAAGCTGACACTTTACAGTATTTTAATATATCCCATGAATTAGAAAAACTAAAAATAATGATTTGTGAAAAAGTATATATTATATTCTAACAAAATATTTCATAAGAATTAAATTTAAATTACACAAATTTTATAGGATCAAATACATAATTAAACTAATTTTTTAATATATGCAATTAAGTCAGTAAAATGAACTTAACTAATTAAATTGGAATTAACAAATTTAAACTCTATTTTTGCATGTTTGAAATAAATAATGATTCTTTTTATCTAAAGTTCGTTACTAGCTCTAATATTTTATCAAATCAATCAGATAATTTATTTTATCAGCTCTAATTTCTGTTAAAAAATTTTAATATTTTAACATATTTAAATAACATGAATTAATGGTTGTAACCTTTTCATATGATAAATAATTTTTCAATAAAAAATTCTTTTTGATTTCTTATGATATATTTTTGGTGTATATTAAAAAATGTTTAAGTAAATCCTTTAAGAATATTGGGTGCACATGGGATGTATAATTTTTTAGAAATGATTAATATTAAAATAGTAAATTATCAATTTAATCTTTAACTTAGTAATTTATTTTTAGTTTCATTTTTAAATTAATAAAAAAAATTAGTCTTAATTTTTTTTAAATATAGCTTAAATTAATCCCTACAACTTGTCAACAATATTAATAAAAATTAATAAAAAAAATCCGATACATTAAGTTTCAATTTAATACACTAAGTGATATGTCACATCCAAAAGATATTACGTAATCTTAAGAGAATAATTATAAAAATTTATGTTCAAATTCAACCATTTTCACAAAATCCTAAAGTTATCATTTTCTTCTACATTTATCTTAAATCTTCATTATCTACCGTCAGATCCCCAATATTATTATAATTGATGATGATTAACATATTAAGCTGGCATTTAACGTGTCATTATCAACATTTTTTAGTGTTCAAGACTAATGTCATAGATTTTTCAATAACTCGGTAACTAAAATAAAATATTTATTAAATCACAAATCTAAGAACTAAAGTAATGAGTTATTCAAAATCAAAGTGTAAAAGTAAATTGTGTGTATAAATTAAGGAGATAGACATATTTTAGAAAAGAAAATTAAAATGTAAATATAATTAGCGTTGTTTTCATAAATTAATTAATGTAATTAGTCCTATATTATTATTCTCTAGCATAGAATACACGTAAAAAAATATTAACTAACTTTTTCAAAATTTTTGTTCAACTTTAAAAAAGCATAAGAATAGTGTTAAAAAATCAACTTAAATAAAATTAAATACTCCCTTAATTTAACAATATTTTTCCTTTAAGATAGTTTAAATGGAGAAAGGAAATGGGGAAACAAAAAGAAACAAGGAAGAAGACAAATTTTGTACATACAATTCACATGAAATTAAAAATAAATGTTTTTATTTTAACTCATTAAACAATACATAATATTTTGTATAAAGCTTAGCAAATGTAATAAACATTAAGAGTAAAAAGTCAGATACTCAATCTATTTGAACACTCAATTTTAAGAAATAATAAGTTTATTTGACAAATAATATTAACTATTTCTATTTTAATAAGACAATTTATCAATTTTTGGCTTCTAATTTTTAACTTCCAATTCCTGATTTATTGGTTAATTTGGTGAAATACTTATACTATTTGTCACAATATTGAACTTGAACATCCCAGTCCCTAGCTAGCACTGTGAAATATTAACGGTCCAAAAGAAATAAGTGTAAGGTTCAAAAAGGAAATAAATGCATTTATACATTAAAAGCATAGAAGAAACTGAAAAGAAGTTCATTTATTCCGAAGACCTGATATTCACGTTTATGTCTTGAATTGTGCCCTTCTTTGAGTGACCAGATCTGCGTCTCTGTTCCAACATTATTTACTCACTGCCCCTTCAAATGTGAACTCTCTTCAAATTAATTGCCAATTAAGTGCTTCTACGTTTTTGAATTCAACACACAACATTGTATTGCCGCAATTCTTCCTTTCTGCATTCTTCTGAGTGTGTCTACATGAATAGCAAGTTCCACTGTGTCAAGTATTTTCAAGTAATGATATAGTTTGCCTCCTAACTTATAGTTTTAACATTCTTTTCAATAATAACTTATTTTTATGTCATTTAATTTCCTCAACTATAGTTCAAATTGAAAACGTTAGAGTAACTGAGTGCATGTTTGAAATTCTATCAGAAAACTAAAAAAATAAGTGATTAATTTTCTTAAAATAAAAGGAATCGAATATATGTACTAAATTGTAAATGTTTGTAATTTGAATTAAATTGAGTATGTGTTTTGTTTACTTAATTTTAAAGAAAAGATTGTTCATTTTTGTCAATTTTCTAGAGGAGTTCTTTAAAATAAGTTATTATTTCTGAAAATTAATCTCTTACCAAACATGCACTGAGGAGTTAAGTGATATATAAAAAAAAATCAAAAACCAAAGTTATTTGAAAAATGAGTAATACTATAAGGAGATAAAATGTAATTCATCTCCAAAAGGAATAGCTCTAAATGGTACATTTAGATAAACTTTTAAAAAAATTATATTTTGGCATAAGCTTTTTTATTTTCTCTTATTAGAAAATTGCTAAAACTGTTTTATTATGAGCTATATATATATATAATTTTTTTCAAACACATATATCTAATTATCTTAACAGATTTTACACATATTCTTTACTTTAAAAAAAATTTCCCTCAAGAAAACATACACAAAAAAGAGGGACACCAAATAATTTACATCCGTACCATCTACAAAATCAGTTTTTTGAATCTTGTATTGATTACAAATTAAATATTCAGATGTCAGCAAGATGGCTTTACTGGAACACCCAAATCAGCATGTTACATAGATTTGAGTCTTTTTACCCCTTCAGTTTTCACTTTTCAAATGTGTTTCAATTAATGCCATCTTTCAAACAACCCTTTTTCATTTTTCTTTGCCTTTTCTCCTCTCACTTCCCAATCCTATGATAGGTGAAACCGTGCGTGTGTGGCATCTGACTTTCCAATCTGTTTGGTCTAAACATGTGTTACAGTACATAGTAGTAGTATATCAAAAATCCTTGAAGTTATAATTGAAATTCATAAATATCCTCTTCATTTATAGTTTATGACCATAATAATAGTAATAATAATTTTTCATTTTTATTTCTGGGGTGTGGACCATAAAATATTATATTTCTGGGGACTCACCAAAACTTGTGAAATCTTTAATAGATGACCGTGCATCATGTGAAATGCTGCAAATGTACCACATTTGACATTTAATAGGAAACCTTTGCATCTTCATGTATATAACTCTACAAAGATTCTACAAGTCATCAACAAACTCCTCCCCAAAGTACACCTTCATCTTCATGCTTTTTGCTCACTACCCTCTTAGATATTCCTCTCCTAATGAAAACTAACTTCAAGTTACTAATTGAGTTTGTATAGTTGCCCAAATATGAGCACTCTCTCACTTGGAACTCGTAAATATTTCTTAATTGTGACTTTCTTCATGGTCGTTTCTATTGGCTGGAGCCTTAGGGTGATCCCGAATCATGGTATGCTTATAACTTTATGTAATATAATGTTCTTTTTCTTTACATGCATAACTTTATGCTTATGCACGTGTCTGAATGTCTAGTAAAGCTAGCTTAATGACATTATATATTCAATTCAATTTCATACAATAACCACTATTATACACCAGTTTTTGTATTCTAAATCATATGGATTTTTCTACAAAGCTTAATGGTAATGCATCGTCCTTCCTTAATCTCACTTAACGCGCTACAAATGAGGTTTGAAATTGAAATTTCAAGTTGGAACATCCAATGTTTAAGAATAACAGATTATTTCGTGAAAATAGACAGTCTTCAATGATTGTGACAATTTACTAGTTAAAAAGGTTTTATTGCTAAGCAATTTGTGATTTTTCCCTCTGTTTTCCAGGTAAGTTGAGCAGCTTGCAAGAAGAGAAATCAGCCACTAGAGATAAAAAGGTTTGGCAGTTACATTATTGTGCATGATTAAATTTGTTTTCAGCTCTCCTAAGTTCCTCACAGATACCCCTGCACCCTTCTTCATGGTTAAAACAAAGAGAAATGTTCAATTCAATTTTTTACGACAAAATATCGTAAGGACACCTATTAAAGAATTAAACATTTCAGTTTTATTATAAAATGTCGTAAGTTTTGTTATTCTCAAAAAACCTATTATTATTAACACATTTTTTTATATGATTTGTAGTATATTTTAATGTGATTCACGATAATATTTTTTCATTTTTTTAAGAAACACCATAAGACACTTATTAACATGTCTTCATTTATTATAAAGGAAAATGTAAGAATTGTGTTTCAGTACCATTAAAGGGAATGTAGGGCCGTAGGGGTAGGTGAAAAAAAGAGTGACATGGAAATATCATTGTTGTCTTATGTGGTAACTCAGTTGTGTGTTGGAGAACAAATTGAACAACCAATTAGTGTTGTGTAACTTTATATGTGATTTTGTAGGAAGAAGCAAAGGAAGACAACATGGGAATGGAACTCTACCCAACGGGCTCCACCATACCAGATTGTTCGCATGCATGTGGACCATGTTCTCCATGCAAGAGGGTAATGGTGAGCTTCAAGTGCTCCATTGCAGAGTCTTGCCCCATAGTCTACAGATGTATATGCAAAGGGAAATACTATCACGTGCCCTCCAATTGATCACTACAATTGTTTTTTTATTAAGTCTAGAAACATTGTAGTGACTCTTAAGAAGATGTTGTAGGTTGGTCAACTTTACCATCTGAAAATTGCTTAGATTGGTTGGTTACGGTTAAAAGAAGACATAGTATCATGACTCAGATTTTGTTCTTGCTAAATTGTGTGTCTTGATTTGACCCTCTTCTTTCACAACTTAAAATGAAGTTGGTATGAAACATTCATTTATAGGCGAAATAAAAGCAACCCTTTCAAGGCTTATAGTGAACTATTTAATTCATTCAACTACCTAGTTCAATAGTGATATCTATTAGATGACCTCAGTTTTGAAGTTTCCCTTACAACCATGCAACCCATTCCACCAAAATTCAATATGGTGATTAAGAATAGGAATCAATCATTCCCATTTCAAAGCATGGTAGCCCATAGAATGAAAAAGAGCTTTATTTACCAAGTCCCTAAGGGCATGAGCATTCATACAAACTGGTGTTTTTTAATATATCGAAAATTTAAAATATATTAAATAAAAATATTACCGTTGTTCAATAATAATGAAGTCTGGTGTCTTAATAAAAATAAATAAAGTAATATGAGATGTCATAATTTTTAATAATAAAAAAATGTTTATTATAATACATTCAGTCTTATATCACAACTTTTTGAAAGTATTAATCATTATCATAAAACATAACCTAGTCTAAATTAAAACCTATAAATCAAAATAATTTCAATTTAAAAAATAAATAAATATATATATATATATATATATACAAATACATTCAATAAAATTAATTATATATAAGAATATAGGATTAAAAAATAACATAAAATTATTACATTTACAATACAATTTTTTCTATTCCATTTCTATTTGAAGAGAAGCATTACTGAGAGGAGAGCTTAGATACGTGTGAAAATAAATTTAAGAAATAAAAGCGACATTAATATAATCTTTTACAACATATTTTTATTATTATATAAAATTGATGTGAGATTCTTTAATTAAAGGAAGATTTGAAACCGTTAATTATTATTTAAGAAAATCAAACATATCCAGAGCGGTATATTTGGGCCTCCTGCACTTACTCTTTGGGTGAGCCCATTCAATAAAGGAACCAAGTCTCGACCCCAATCCGATAATGGAAGAGTGCTAGAAGACCAATAACAAATATTTACGTAAAATTAGTCTTATTCAAATTAAAAATATTTATCATAATAAAATTATTCATGTTTTTTTTAATTATACATAGTATTTGGACTTCGATTTTTCTTTAAAAAAATAGGCAATACCTAAACTGGTTACCCGTTAATTAAAGGTTAATAGGGTTTAAATCACGTTCAGTAAGTTTTCAAATATTATTAAAAATTATAAATAAGATTCATTAAATGAAAATAAATTAGTATATTTTTTATAATTCTAATAAAATTTAGTTAATAAAAACTATTTTTAAAAAGTATGTATATAATAAGATGTGTTTAAACATTTCTCATTATAAAAATTATGTTATATTATCTTTGTTATTAGAGAGAATGTAAATTTTATTTTTATTTATTTATATATAAAAATTTAAGAAAATATTAAATATTATTTTTATTAATAATCTTAAACCCCAAATTTAAAAATAAATTCACTATTAAAGGTATATCGAAGATAAATAATTAAATTTCTTAATTTATGTAACTTTTTTGATCGCTCTGTATATAAATAGAAACAATGTGAATGTAGTATGACATCCAATCAAGACTTTATCCAAACCGATTAGCTTTTATTTACTTGCATCACTCTTTCGCCAAAAGGCGTCATCTCAAAATAAAAGTGGCCAAGACCAAAAATTTGCCCTCATCGTGTATTTTATTTGGGCCTAATTATGTGAAATAACCTGGGCCAGCCTATTGCGAACCTGTAGAGTCATTTCAACTTTCCGTAAGTATTGACCAAAAATTTTCTTGACAAAAATAAATTCTCGATTTTTCAATTACATTATCTAAACACACACACACATATAATTTGTTTAGGACCATAGAATATATTTTCATAAGGAAAAAGAGCATTAAAGTCCTTCAAATATACACTTATGCAATAAAACTCTTTTGATTGTGTTTATAAACTACATTATTTTCTTCTATTTGACACTCTAATTTTATTTAATTCACTAAATGATCATTCCTTTACATTTTCTACTTTGTTATTCAATACTAGTTATTTTCTCGAAAAATAAAGTTGCTTTTCCTTATTCATTCATTTCTGTTGATTATTAATTATTTGATTTGAGAGAAACAACATTTTGCATATGAGAAGAATGAAATTTTTTTTAGTTACAAATATTACATTTTTAATTAGAGTATATTATATTTTCTTTCTTCAAGAGATATTTAAATTACACTCGAATATTTTCTTGTTTTAAAATGTACAATTTCATCGTTTAAGAGATAATGAGTTATACTTTAGTCTATTTTAATTTAAACAAGTTTTTAAGAACTTTTTCCCTCATTATAATTCTCAACATGGTCAACAACTAGATTTGAAAATTTATAGAATATGGTAGATCTTTTTTATGATATTCAAAAATAAAATTACAAGAACTTAAGTTCAAATTTAACAATATGAATAATACAAACGAGTGAATAAGCCACGACAAAAAAAAGCGGTAAAAAAGATGGTAACACTAAAAGATAATTAGTGCCACACCCTCAACCCTTTAATTTCGTGTGCTTTCATTTATGTCATTAGTTCAAATATGTACCTTGCTTTTGAGTATGGTTTCTGCTGCAAATGTCAGTAATTGAATACAATGCAGCATGACATGAACGTAGATTTAATAATCACAACAGAAAAAATAAGTTGAGTTCCAGAACGAAGATAAATTATTGTTGAAACTAGATTAAAATGATCATTTGCAATTCGGTAAACAAAATTCTAAGGATGCTGTGGTTATTCTTCAAATTTTGATATAACAATTCTTGTCATCTTTGTTGATTAATTTTTATTCTTACTCCTGACAGTAAGTTGAGCCCTCTTTTTCTTATGTAATTACGTAAGATTTAATATCAAATTACGGTAATATTTCTTCTAATCAATATTTCAAATTTTATTATTAAGTAAATGAAATATAACTTTTTATCAATTAAATTAAACTTTTAAAAGCACAAAATATAAAATTTGTTTTAAATATTTATTAATTTTTTAACCAATTAAATTTTAATACTAATTTTTGTATTTTCTCGTATTATTTTTGCTCTTTAATTATAATTTATATTATTTAAAATTATCACACATATAAAAATGAACATTAATATATTACTATGTTATTATTATAATATAAATATAAAATAATAAATTATTTATTTAGGATATAATAATTAACTTTTTACTGTAATATAAATTACTTTATTAATAGCCAAAATATAATATCAAATATTTTATTTAAATTTTTTGAAAAATTAAAAATAGTTCTTTAAATATTTTTATATATAATTAATATGTATTTATATTATAAAATTAATTTTACGACTATTTTAAAAATTAAATGGTAAATAATATATAAATATAATTTTATTTTATTAATATAATTTTTAATACTATAAACTAATCATGATATATAATAAATATATCTTTTAAAATAATTATTATAAAATTAATTATTTTTACTGATATAATAATATAAAAACATGTTATTATATTTTTATAGTATTTTTTTATTAATTATTATAAATAAAAATAAATTTATCAATCCAAAAATTATATATATACATATATCACACATTTTTATGGCTTTCGGTGTTTTCCAAAAACTGCAACCGATGTTTCCACAAATAAATGCACCCTCAAATGATGGAGTCATTTTGTTAAATATTTTTAATTTTATGATTTTAATTTTTCAATTACTATTTTACATAACTTTTTTCCTTGTAAAGGAGAGTGAGATTAAAAAGCCTAGTGGTGAATGGAATCAAATTTTAATATTTTTTTATAAAGAATTAACATGATTAATAGAAGAATCTTGTAAAACATATAGTGTCACTCTTTGCATAATTGATATTAATAGCTGAATATATTTTACTAAATACTACTATGTAAGTTCTATATTATGTAATATATTTAGTGTATTGTTTTTCTTGGAAAGGAAGGAGAGTGAGGCAGAAGATGAATTGAACAAGAAAGAGACGTGTGAACCGTATATGTACGGTTGTACTCACCAATTTTCTTTGCTTCATAAATCAGGTAATGGAATTCCAAGTCAAAGCTTAGACTGGTTGCTATTTTCTAATTCACACAATTCTAATTTCCTACACGTATGATCATCTATTCCATGTATATATGAACTTTCTCAAGTTTGAGTCAACGGATCAACTCTCTGATCAAATATTAGGTAATAGATTAAAAATTTTGTTGACCAAAAAGAAATTGAAAACTTCTAAGAAAGAGGCAATTTTTCAAAATATATATTATGCAATGTGATATTTTAAATCTTTAATTATATAATTTAGTTGTAATATTTTTAAATTTTAATTATAACATTTAAAATATAAATACGGAAAAGAGCCTTATAAAATGTTTCACTCAATCATTTAAACATATCAGACATAATTAAGGGAAATTTAAATCACATTGATTTTGTTGAAATATTCAAGCTAACTTGCTATACCTAATTAATTATTGTTTACTAATCTTCCCTATGTTTAATATAAGTTGGTTTCTTTTCTTGGTTGTTATAAGTTTCCACGAAGTTTCCTTATATCTTGAACATCACATTAAGCCTTATTCACATTGGGACTCGGTTGTTCCATTAATTTAGTTTACTTAAGATCTTTTCGTATTTTTTGTGAATTTATTTTAACATCTTATAAATTGTTGGACAGTTCAAGAACTATATATATGTTGTAAATCTCATGTCTTTGCTTTTATCAGTTTGGATCCGAGTAGAAGTGAAAGATGAAACCTACCCATTTGTGCAATTAAAGCGAACAATTAAGAAACCTAACATATATAGGGGCCTACGAAG